TGCTGCCAGACGATTAAATAATGTCAAAAGTAATATCGCAGGATTTTTTACTTCAATTTTTAGGTTTTACAAAATACTGGTTTTTATTACAAAAAAAACATAGCATCCCTGGCGAAAATTTTTAATAAAAAAATCGGTCGAAGAAAAGGGGCAGAACAATTTTGCAGAGAACACCTTTCTGCGTAGGTGGCCTTCAGTCGCGCTTAGGGATTATAACCCTCACTAAGTACAATTCTCCTTTCTGTGTTGCCGAAGAAGAGACGCTGAAATCCTTTTGCAGAGAACACCTTTCTGCGTAGGCAGCCTTCGGCCTCGCTTAGGGATTATAACTATTACTAAGTAGAATTCTCCTATCTGTGTTGCTTAAGAAGAGGGGCTGAACACCTTTTGCAGAGGAAAGCTTTCTGCGTAGGCGGACTTCGGCCGCGCTTGGGGATTATAACTATATGTAACATAGCTGTGGGTTTGAAAGGTCGTGTTATAGTTAGCTCCGCGAAGTTTTTAAATTTCAGCTTTTTTTATTAGCTTAACGCGATTTCAAATGCAAATAGCGATTCATATATATAATCGGAAAGTGAATTTTGCTAAGTAGCAGTGATAGTGACACTAAGAGGATAGTGATAGGCGAAAAGGCGCGCAGAAGCGGCTTCATGTTTTACATCTAGTAAACATAAGACATACATACAAACACAAATAACGAATTGTGAACCATAATAAACACAAGTGTCGATAACACCGTGCGAAAAGGCTTGGGACGTCGGCAAATAAATTAAAAACACTCAAAAGTGCAGTGAAGTGTCAGCCAAGAAAATGGGTGACTGCCATAAGTGCAAAGGCCTAATACGCGGTGAGAGTGGAATCCGCTGTGAGGGCTTCAAACTCGCACTGAGTAACGCTGATTTCACCGAGATTTTTCGTAACTTTGACTAATGCAAGATCGCTCAGCTTGCTAATTTTTTAACCAAAATTGAAGCCAAATTTTAGTTTATAAGCTTTAAATCCAAAATCGTCTTATCACAGGTGTTAATACCGTCCACCTCACCCATAAGCCGTTCAATTTAATGAAGTACTTGCTCATGCTCCTTATGTGCCACTCTGCACACTACGCTTTTTCAAGTTACACTTTCGTGTAACATTCTGCTGTATAACTTTAAAGAAGAGGGATACCCAATCAACTCAAAGTCAAAAAAAATTTTAAAAAATAAATAAACATTAAGGCGCGTTTTAAGTAATGACTAAAAGGATTGGAAAGGCCATTTCTATAAGTGGTGTCATGAAGTGGCATAAACTCCACTCCTGTGGGTTTGCAAAACATTAAAATAAACTGTGCGTAGAACTATGCAAATAAGCGTTTGTACATGTTATACATATGTATTTTGTGTGTGCCGTGTGATATGCTAGCCAAAGTTTCATTTACTGCAGTGATTTAAAAATTAAATACGATCATCAAATCGATCAAACCGTTTTAGTAAACTATTTTGTGAAATTAAATTGACAAAAACGCAAGTAACTGTACTGCTGTACTTTGAGCTAGCCACGCCACACAATCCGCTATTTTTGACAAATATCGCCGGCAAGCGGTAAAATAAAAAAATGCGACAAATAAACAAGTGCATAAAACGGCAGAAGTGGTTGCGTCGCTTAGCAAAGCAGCGGCCAGTCAGCACCATCAGCGCTAAACAAGAAGCGCCAACATCGGAAGAGGCGCCAGAGCCAGGCAGCGCCGAACAACAGCAGCAGCGAATAGTGTCGCCAGAAGTAGCAGCATTGTGGGAAGGGCAGCAGCATACGACAGCGAAGTCGCAAAATTTAAGACAGCGGCGAGGCATGAAATAGCGCAGTGCAGCTAAGTAATTTTAGCGTATACATACTTACGTACATATTTCCATGTTAAGGTAGTAAAAGCAATATATGCACGAATTTGCTGGTAATACGCCGTTAGAGTTAGCGCTATTTTGTTCGCGCCACTGGCGGTAGTTTTGTGTTTGCAATTGCAATTTTTTCATTTTATGTGTACAGATTTATATATGCGAGGGTATTGCGGGACAGTCACGTACACAATAATATAAACAATTGAACAAATGATTATTGGAAAATTAAATGAAACAAATAACTCGAATATTTTGTGTATCAGTATTAAATGTATGTATGTTAAATTCCGAAAATTGTAAACATTTTACCAAATCGATTTAGACAATAGAAATTTTAATTGATAATACAGTAAGACATGGATCGTGATGAAATTTTTAGCTTGACGGTTGACGGTCTTAGGGAAATGTTGGGCGGTTTTGGTTTGTCGACTAACGGACGGAAAGCGACGTTGCAGGACAGGCTACTGGAACACTTCGGCCTGAATGTGAGCGACGGCGATGATACCGATTTCGATGACGCTGCAAGTAGGCGAAGCGTACGTGGGTCCGTGGCTGAGCGTCCAGCATTCACTCTTCGGGATATTGAGGACTCGTTGAGCAAATTTAGCGGGCCCGGTCAGCCGACATTCGATCAGTGGTTGGAGGATTTTGAGGGCAATGCAATGGCTGTGCACTGCTGAAGGGTCTAGCAAAACTTTTTATTAGAAGCCAAATTGGAGTTAGCAGTTGGGATTATTTAAAATCCGCTCTGCGCTCATAGTTTGGCGTCACTATGTCGTCGGCCGAAATACACCGCAGCCTTCGAAGGCGGCGCCAGCGACCAGGAGAAGATCTGCGGGAATACCTGTACGCAACGATGGAGATCAGCAAACCAGTCAGTCTCGATGATTCCAGCTTGATCGAGTATTTGATCGAGGGGATTTCAGATAATCGCGCGAATAAGAGCAACTTGTATCAGGCGCGAAATATCAAGGAGATGAAGGAACAGATCAAGGTGTACGAGAAGATCCGGTCTAGCAAACCACAGACCACGAGTGGGAATTATGTATGTAAAGCCAAGGTCTTCAAGCAGGGATTTACAAAATTCACAGTCCTCAAGCAAAGGGTGTTTCCTCTGTGGTGATAAGTCTCACTTCGCTCGAAATTGTCCACGCAAGAAGATCAGATGTTTTCAATGTGGTAACGAGGGTCATCGAGCGAGTGAGTGCAAGAGCTCTGGAAATAAAGTGAAGACCGGGAGAGCTCCAACAAACAGAGAGCTCAACAATGAGAAGCGGCGACTGGTGGGCATCGGTAACAGTGCAATGACAACAATGGGCGGCTTTACCATCCCAATGCATATCGACGGAATTTCGCTCGACATCACGTTTAATGTGGCAAGGAAGCGGGATTTGAGCTACCCTCTAGTGATAGGCAACAATGTCCTCAAACACGTGTTGACCTTATCGTTACGGAAGATTGTGCCGTTTTTAAGGAGAAGACGAGAAAGTCCAGTGGACGCGAGGAAGCACTCGAGCGCAAGGCAGTGGCCGGTAATTGCGCTAGTGTGGTACGAGACGGAGCAGATCCGTGTGAAGGTGCAGCGGCGTGGAAGACAGTGGCCGGAAATTCCCCAAATGCTGACCAATTGGAGGAAACTCATTTGTGCGTAAGGCGAAGGCTGGTAATTGCGTAGAGGTTGGGCGAGTCGAAGAGAAATCAGGAGATGGTGCAGCAAAACGCAAGGCAGTGGCAAGTAATTGCGCAAGTGCAAATCCTGAAAATTCGATCACCGATGATTTGAACAATATTTACGATCTGATAACGAATATTGTGAGGAAGTTGAGAAGTGCTTGACCGGTAGATGCGGCTGAGGTTCAGCGTAGACGTGCTGAGATTCGAGATGGTGTCTGTGAACCAGGTACGAGTGTTAGGCGTGGTGGTATCGTAGGATCACTATGCGAGCATGCGACGCCAAGCAAGATGGGTGTGTACGAACAAGGTGTGGAATGCTTGAAGTTTCGCGATGGAAGACCTCCAAGTCAAATCAGCGGGCTGCAAGCAGAGTCCGGAAACGTGTGCGTGAGAGCTGGAACGAAGCAAAATAAAAAATGCGAGATAGATGTGAGCAAGACACGAAAGGACAAGCTACAGAGCTCGGTAGCAGCCTACAAGCCAGCTGAATACTCAGTATCACCGGTGGAGCAAGAGCTTCTGCAGAAAGAGCACATCGACGAGTTTGATGCAGAGAGGGAAGAAGTGTGCCACCAATCACACGACATCGCCGGAACACAGCAAGGAAACCGCAGAACGTTTAACGAACTTCGACGAACTGCAAAAGAGTACACCATGGACGAGCTAGTAGCAATCAAGCGAACGCAATACGGACCAGGACTCAGGCTAAACCCAAGATACTTCGCGGCCGCTACACCGCAGAGAAGATCGGCGACCACGGAGGGCTAGGCCGCACAATTACAGTAACCAAATTCCTAAAGAAATGGAATCCATCATCCGAGCCCGAATGATAGCGCAGGATGGCCGAATGTGAGAAATGATGAACGCGACCATCGACGTACAAACATACAAGTATGACAGTGGGGAACCGGACTAAGACTCATCGACGAATAAAATAGTGACAGGCCAACCTAATATTCACGCACGCCGGCAGTTTACTGTCAAAAATTTCTCACATACAACCTGTATGGGACCAACCGAAATTGACCGGCGTGCGTAAATAGCTAACTCAAATTCCAAGATTTGTGTTTTGTGACATTTCGATTGGACGTTTGTGCTTATGTGACATTTTGGCGCGACTATGAATTAAAATTTTTGAACAAATGCAGAATAGCTCTGATTTTCAAATAAATAAAATAAATATTGGGGTCGATAGAGATGATCGAGCTGAACATGACGATATATTTATTTTTTGAGAAACCACCAATTACTAAAGTTATTAAGAGTTAAAGTTCAAATTAAACAACTCTTTAAATCAAAATTTTTTGAAAACGAATGCATGGATTTTAAAAATTTTGATCTCATTTGATAGGAAATTTTATTCCCTTTAATTTGATATAAATATAGTCCTCCCTAAGTAGATTTTTTCTTCTGTGTTGCCGCTGAAGAGAAGTGGAATTCCTTTCTGCGTACATTAATTAGATGTTTGTGAAAACTAAACAAGGCATATATAAAGTATGTATATCAAATTGAAGGGAACTAAATTTCCTATCGACTGGGGATCGAAACTTTTAAAATCTATACATTCGTTTTAAAGAAATTTTGATTTAAAAATGGTTTAATTTGGACTTTGACCCTTAATAACTTTTGTAGTTGTTGTTTCTGCATGAAAAGAAATATACCGTTATACTCACTTCAATGATCTCTATCGATGCCCATATGTTTTTTTATTTGATAATCGAAGTTATTCTGCATTTATGGTCAAATTTTGCTCAACTTCTGAAATTTTACAGAAATGCAACTCTGAAAAATCACGCGCGCAAATTTATTTCGGTTACTCAAATATGAAAAACTTGCGTGCGTGCGTAGAAAAAGAAAGAAACATGCACAGAACGGACCACACTGAACGTACTCAATGATAGACTTGACTAGACAAACGAGGGACCGCAAGAAGACAGGTTGTATTTGACCGCCTTCAAGCGAAGTTCTTTAGCTAGTCGTAGCATTTAAAGTTAGAAACGTATATGTAACCGCGTGTGTGCGAATAAACGTCCAGTTTTGTAAGCATTAAAAGCGCGTTTTAATTAAAGACTAAAAGGATTGGGAAAATAGTACCTTGAAATGCTAGCTTAATAGTTTCCGAGTCCCGCCCCCTAAATTTCATTCTGGCTATGTCGATGGGAGTGACCACTCCGTCCCCCTTTGCGTAAAAAACTAAAAAAGCTTTCGGTACAAATAAAATAATCCATTTATTTTCATCAATACTTAAAAACATGCACAGAAAGGCAACTTTGAACTCTTGAGTGCAGCTAAGCAAAATTTAAAGCCGGATCAAATTTATACTTCAAAAGATAATACGACTTGGTCTAAGAATGCATTGGCTAACGCTGGTCGAGCTATTACATTATTTCCGTAGTAACATGTGGACTGTCAACAAAAAACTTTTGTCGAAACAAGCAACTTTCAATCTAATTTTCAGTGACATGATAAAAGATCTTATCGTACGCTACATGAACCTAAGAGGTGCAAAGTTTGCAGCGGAATACAAAGTAAACCCAGATCGCCCACAACGTGAGTGGATTCCGATAGATTCGATTGAGTTGGATGCATTTTGGGGCATCATTTTACATTGCGGCGTTCGCAATTCCAGCCATGATCGAGTGGTTGATTTGTGGGTTCGTCATGCACACCCCCTTTACCGTGCATCAATGCCAATGGTTCGATTTTGAACCATCTTGAAAAGTATTCGTTTCGATGACTCCAGAACTCGAGAAACCATAACACAATTCGACAAGGCAGCTCCGATCTTGGAAATATTTTGTTTCATCAATTTAGATTTGAGAAGCAACTATCGCCCTAACTCTTCGCTTTCGTGGGCGCTTTCCTTTTCGCCAATACATCCGGTGTCTAAGCCAACCAAATATGGTCTAAACATATTTTGGGCAGCCCACTCGAAAACTCACTATCCGCTGCTAGGATAGCTCTATCCGGGCGAAGCAAGAAACAAAGCTCTTTGAGAGAAAGTTGGGTTACGATTGGTGAGACATTTGAAAAACTCAGGTCGAAACATTACCATGGAAAACTATTTCACTAATCAAGCACTAGCGGAAAAGCCAGTCAAGAAGAAGCTAAACATGATCAACACAATGCGCCGGCATTTCGACAGAAGGCAACATTAAGGGCCGTTTGCACCATGTCTAGTTAACGCTAACTGGAGGTACTTCCTACAGTTAAGCACGTTAACTGCTTTATCGATCACATGTTTTATGATGGGTGTCGATAACGTCGATAAAGATATTTAACTGGGAGTTAGAATTAAATAGACATGGTGCAAGACGGCCCTAAGTGTCATATGTGACAAAGAGGAACAAATCGGTTGTTCTGCTTTCAACAATGCATAACACCGATGCGATAGATACAAACTAAGAAGCCCGCAAACCGTTAATTCTGACCGATATTCTTTTCTATAAATTCAATGTGTCGACACAATGAACCAAATGTGCTCAAACTATTCCTGCAAAGGTGCAAACGAGACACTTGCCTCTGGCGATATTTTATAATATAATTGACATCGCTGCCTATATCCTATATTAGTCAAATATTATGCCATCTAATTTGACGTGGCGTCAAATTCTTTTTATTTTACATTTTTTTGCAGTAAATGATGGATTCCATTGCATTTGTAGCTATATATAGCAGGGGAGCAAGAGCGCGATATGGAAATTAATTCACAAAGCTATGCGGAGCTGTCCGGCATAGTTGCCATGGACGTATTTGTGTATGTCAGCTTCTGGTTGAATTGTTGAACCACAAGCCATAACTCCTCTTGCCCCTGAAGAACTGGTTCTCAATCCAGTTAATGCAAAATTAGCTTCTTCCAAGCCATTGAAAATAATCATTTTGTCAGGTTCACCACCCGTTGCGCTTGCTTCCGCCTTCGGCCGCGCTTATGGGTTACAACCCCTACTAAGTAGAATTCACCTTTCTGTGTTGCCGGTGAAGAGGGCGGAAGGTATACAACGTTTCTTGTGCGTATACATAACTCCGGCTACGCCACCCAAAGTATTATTGCGCAGAACCCACATCGAAATTTACAAATAAGTGCATAGCTCAAACCGAATTTAATAATAAACTAGTGCTCGGAGATTTGAAACCCTTATTTTAAATTAAGGTTAAGTCGTTTGACTACACGTGTATGTGTATTAAAGTTTTTAGATTCCGGTCATGCGTTTGGACACAACAACGCAAAATCTTTGCACAAATAACTAAACAGTACTTAAGTTTCTACATAAAGGGCAACAAACATTCTTTCATATGTATAAAGCAGTGGATAAAAATATACGTAGGTACTTATGTGGGAAAATCTTTTGAGACGGGGACTTTTCAATTAAAAAAAAAAATGTTTCAACATTGCACAATTTTTTTCATAGATGATCACTTGTCAACCCAATTGAAGTGTATTAAAACCCGGGTAACTAATATTTTTTAATTGATACTCTATTTAAACCGTATTTTCAAAATTGTTTTCTATTAGCCCGGTCAAGCTAGATTTTCAAGGTTGCAGTAACTCGCATAAAGCTGAAAATTGGTACGAATGTTACCAACGATATTATAAATGAAATGTGTAAAGTCCTTATCGATCCCAGATCTGTAAAAAAAAATATTCAGGGTCAAAGGTCACATAAATTGATGTTTAAAATTTTTCAGCTAAACCGTAAGGTTTATCATAAAAATAGGTTCGACAAAATCATACAATTGTCTCCAAAACCCCTTATGACACTTTTTTCCTAAGAGTCACCATTTCTGAGATATAACGACTCGATCGACATCCATTTTATAATAATTCAGATAACTTATAAATAAAATACTTTGAATTGAAGTTAATTCTTTAACAGGTGGTAGTATAAAAAATGCCGTCCGTATGGCAGGTGCCACGGGCCCTTTCCCAGAACCCAAATTTTTTCCATTCCATGAGTATAGTATTGATTTTATATATCTCCATACCAAGTTCCAGTACTCTACCACAAATACTTCCAGAGGTACGCAGTATCAAAAATTTCGTTTGTATGGGAGGTGCCCCGCCCCTTTATCTAATCGGGATAAAAGTTGCCCGATCTTTTATGTTGGGCTAAATGACACCAATTTGCGAAATTTCATTAAGTTCGGTTGAGTGGTTACAGCGTGGAAGCACAAACATTTCGCATTTATATCAGTAAGGATTATCCTGTACTGATCATTAAAATATTTTTTAGAGGTGAGCATTTCTTTTATTACGTTCGAATTGGCCCCATTTAACTTGTTAAATGAAAAAAAGCTTTTTGTAAAACACAATCGTCCACATTGAACATTGCGAGTTAACTTTGACGGTTGATTTCAAATAAATGGCGTGCAGGGTTAGAACTCCGGCAAGCTTAAATCGGAAAAATCGTAGCAGAAAATAATGTTCCATAGTAGTATTTTTATATGCCGCTCGTTTACTGGAGAACGTCATAATCTAAAGAGACATTTTTTTCAGTTAAGTATGCAAAAATGGCTGCCGATCCTTATTTCATATTCGCCGAAAAATGCGTTACGCTATCCTCCAATTGTTTCCCTGGAACTTTACCCTATAAACCTTAGACTCTACAATCTCTCTTTAGCCAAAGTAAGGAACCAAATGGATTTTTAATGACAGTTATCATCTAATATTTCAAGCAAGTGTTGCATATTTTAGCGAAAGAGTGGTTAAAACTATCTTTAAAATACCATTTCAACTATTGTTATCGTGGAAAAATTACGAAATTTATGCGATTTTCCAGAAAGAATACCTTTAAGAGGCATATTTTTGTTTAGATATAGTATGTGCTACATAAAAATACAAATTAGTCTAATATTTTTATATTATACCTTAAAAATTACCTGAATTCATCAATTCATGTTTGTATTAAAAAGAAAAACTATTTTATTTTATGTTTTTCTTTATTTTTTAGTTTAAATACTGCAAAAGGCGTACTTTATTATTTTGGAATTTAAAACGTAGCAGATCGTAAGTAAAGCGGAGTAGCGTAGTAAGTTTAAAATTTTCTCTGAAACCGTAGTAAATCTACTACGATCGTAGTGAAACCCTAACCCTGTTGGCGTGTCAAATGAAAGCTCTTGGCTCATTCTGATTGGCTCAAGCAGAAAGCTTTCGGATACAACTCTGCGCTGAATTGGTTTTCAAACGAGTTAAATGATTTAACTGGTTCAATTTTCCAACAACAATTGCATGCGATTTAACTTGTTTATGAACATGTTTTGTTCATTTAACTGGTTCAAGCCATGATTTTTTTTTGACTTTTGCAAGTATTTAAAAATATGAAATTGAAAAAAAATGAAATTGTTCACAATTGTTGTTAGAGATTGAAAATTAGAATGTATGTGTAAGTTTGAGTTTTGCACTTTAAAAGCATATGTATTGCTGGCAAACGTCAGACTGCCTCTCAGTGGTTTTACCTTGTAATGTTTTTATCATGCAATAAAACTGGTGTAATGAACTGAAGGTGGCGCATTCCCGAAACCGCTACTTTGGTTTTGCCGACTTTGACGTTTATGGCAATACGTAAACAAACTTTTTGTTTATCCCCCCTTGAGCCCCCCGTCAACCAGTCAGTCTTCCTCCGAGAGCGCCCCAAATAGGCCCGAAGCCCTAGATACGCTCCGTGCTTACCTACGGACAACTAAACTCAACCAGCGAGTTCATGTTGGCAGCTTTTGCTCCGCCTTTGTATGAGCTGTTTAAGAAGTGAGCGAATTTCTTCCACATGTTAGTGCGCATGGTTGTCTAAGTTGGTGCTTGCGAAATTTGTACGCGCTTGCCGTGCCAGCTTCGTGTATACGTATGTATGTACATAGGGGTACTAAAAGCAAGCGTTGGTATGTTAGTTTTTGTGTGAACGTCTACCTGTATGTATGTATGTAGGCGAAGCTACATTGTACTCTGGCTCGGTCGGTATGTGTGTGGGAGGATCTTGTTTTATTTTTTTATACAAAAATTTAA